TGCAAAAGAAAATAACGGAATAAAAAACAAAAGGCGTCTGAATTTTGTCGAGGCTTTGAGCAGAGTGAAGTATTGACGATCGATGCAAGCGCGCTCGATGTAACGAAACGTGAGGGCACTTCACGTTCCTCGTGCAGGACTCTCCAGCTCCGGCACTTGACTGAACTTGAACATTAATTAAGAACACCTATGACCTAACGTGTGCTATTAACGACCTATTATCGACTTTAGAACATGACTTGTTTTGGTATATTGTATTAATCGAAGATGCTTTAACAATTTATAGGAATTTAAATGTACCATGTATTTTATTACTTAGTAGCAGTAGTTTGGAGCTGTAATGTTTGTGATTTGAGTATGTGATCAAATAGGGCTAAGAAATCAAAGAAACAATAAGATTTTCATGTTAGCTTTGATAACAAACGTTTCGACAAACACAACTTGAATCGGCTGTTGCCCAAGACTCCGTCCACAATAGAATAAAAAAAAACACAATTAGGAGTCTATGTGTTCTTCCAGATTGTGTTCTACATCTATGCCAAATTTTAGCGAGATCCATGCAGCCGTTCTGCGGATACCTTCTAACAAGCAGCCATCCATCCATCTAAACATTCGCATTTATAACATTAGTGAGAAGTAAGAATTAGTAAGATTAGTTAAATAAATTTATAAAACTAAATATAAATACTTGGCAAAGCTAATTATAATAAAATTTTCTAGAGATTCAACGATAGCTATACTATTTATTGATTTTTCCCACGAATTGAGATTGCATTAGTCGCGATTGTGTTTGTCCCGCTACAAACGAGCAAATCCTTTGTTCGATTGCACCAAATGCTATTTCCAAATTACCGTATCGGTAGCGTTCACTTTAAATTGTACTATTTAAATTGAATTCTATTTTACAGATTGGCAGTTACAGATTCAAGCAGAAACATACTCAGTTATTGATTGTTACCAGTTTTTCATCATTATTTTATAGTTAGTTAGTTTACAGTCGGAATATCCTTCTAATTTACTTTCTTAGTTAAGTCGCAACTACTTTTCCTTGTTGCAATCTCAACATAGTGTTACGGGAAAGCAATCAACGAGCCTTGTCATTAATGTTACAACGTAACGTTGATCAGTACCCGAAGGTATGTTCTGACCGAAGATGCGTGGTGTAATTTATATAACATGTTACCGACGAGCATTCATACAGTCAGTAACGAGGTAACCATTGACCAATGAGCCACTCGATGCGAATGTTACCTCGTATCGTCAGTACCCAGTTCCAGTTCTTCCATGCGATTACGACAACGATTCGCAAACAATATTTGTTATACGTCACAAAATTAATTTAACTACCGAACAAAACGATGAATGATTAATGAAATTGAATTTCCGCTTTCGCAAAATTAAATTTTCCCAATTACTGAACTCGAACATATTAAAGTAACAAAATTAAGGAATAACGACATTTTATCCCCCTTTATTGTTTGCCCCCTTCTGTTATAAAAAAAATAATTCTTATTAAGTTTGCGAATATTAATAATTTTAGACTAATTGTCTCACTTAGAGTCTAGTAGTATCTCTTAGTGCAACCTTTGGATACTTAGGATTAATTGTCCATGAACAATTAAAGTTTTTTAATACGGTAGACATTAAACGGTCTTATTTTTAGATGAACATTGTCTCCTTGCGGTAGTTTCAGACAGTATTAGTTAGAATATATTGCCGCGAATGACGTGATTTCGTTACAAAGTCCAATGTCAGAATGAATAGTAAGGGACATAAACGTCGACATTTTAGTAATGCTAGTGTTGGGTCAATACACTACCACATTTTCGTATTTTCTTCCTAACATATGTAAGGTCAAACTTTACATAGCAAAATACTTATAAATATACTACTTAAGTTTTGTCTCCAGGATAAGGTCAGATTCCCGTTTTTATTTATTCCCCTACTTCTAGACCATTCTTTTCAACAAATTTTATGCATTTCTTTCTCCTTACTATATTCTATACGGTTCTTTTAAGGCAAAAATACTTATTAAATTAAAATTGCTTTCTAAGAAACTCATTATGTTATTACGGAGAAAATACATACAACTTTCAATATTATTAAGGTAATTTTATTTCTATGAAACTACCCCTGAATCATACAGAATATTTAGTAAATATATTTATTGATGCGTCACGATATTGGCCTTCATAATCTAACTTCGTGTAACCATACCAAGAATATTGGACCAATTTTCTTTGTGTCACGTTTCTATGAACTACGTATAAAGCTGTTCCTACGAAGACGTTTAAAGAATTTTTTGATGATAAGCTTTTATATATTATGCAAATGAAAGTTAACCTACAAAGACATTTTATTATTAATTAGCTGTCACCCGCGACTCCTACTATGTACTACTCCTTCTATACTTGTGCCAAATTTCATAACGATCCATTGAGCCGTACCGGAGATACCTTCTAACAAACATGGATCCATCTAAAATTTCACATTTATAGTATTAGTAAGAGTTAATTGTTGTATTGTTCACAAGACAGCAGAAACAAATATGTAACTTGATTTAAAACGCAATAAGGGAATATCAAAGGATAAATTAATTTTCGCCCGGCCATTTACTATTTGTCCTCCCGCTGAGTAGGACGCCATCTTGGAATTTAATTTAGCCGGCGTGTGATCTTGAGATGCTATAAATAAATCTCAGGACTCGATTTCACAAATTATTTAATTCTCGGGACCGGAAAATTGAGGCGTTTTCATTAGTGGGAAAAAAAATCTCCGTTCAAAAACATCGTGATAAAAAATATAGACATAAAAAGAGAGCTTTATTTTACTGACATAGGCAATAAAACCAAACAAGAAAACTACGTAATAAAAACATAATTCAGTTCTTGTTAGATTAGTTGCTAGGTTTATTCGAATAACTGAACCTTTTATTAGATTTCCATGGTTTTTCTCAGCAAAACGCAAGGGCTCTGTGGCAATACATCACAAAACCAATAATCCGCTAATAATTACGTATCGGGGCTTTGATTAATACTCATGCTCCCTAAAACTATTACCAGGGGATTGATCATGCGAATATTCCCTCGCTAACAGTTTTCATTAACTACTATGTATAATCTAAATCGACAAACTGGGATTAATTGAATACCCGATTATATAGTTGTTTTTATATACATATCGTATAATGTTTATTACATTATATTATATAATATATATATTTTAATCTATGTATACAAAAATCAATTGCTGTTCGTTAGTCTCGCTAAAACTCGAGAACGGCTAAACGGATTTATCTTAAGGATTGGTCTTGGAATGTTCGTGAAGGTCTAGGGAAGGTTTAAGAGGTGAGAAAAATTCGAATAATTGCTGGGAAAACAGCCCTTTTCTTTTTCCCATATAAACGGCTGAACGGATCTCGCTAAAACTTGGCATAGATGTAGAACATCGTCTGGGAGAACACATAGGTATAATAATTATGTTTTTTATTTAATTACGTGCGAACGGAGTAACAGGCAACAACTAGTTTAGGATAAATAATATTTATAGTAAACTTGGTCTAATTAAACTTACAACATTTTGTTAATTATTTTTTGTAATATATAGTCCCCTTTTCCTAAAGTTGCAAAGTCATTAAATATTCGTTCCCTAAATAGATCAAGGAACGACAAAGTTTACGTTCGATCGAGTCTCTAGAGCGTTACTCTGTAAAGGGAACTTTTCGTCGACTCTCGCAAAGGCTTATTAGGTTGATGTTGTGCACCATGCAAGATGCGCCCGGTGAAGGCAATCGATGTTGCCATGACAACGTCCCTGTTCGAAGGACGTTTATAATGCCAGGAAGCGCTTACGAATCGCTGACTCATTTTACTAAATTGTAGCGCCAATTTGTAGAATTTTTTGAGCCCCTGTTGCTTTTTATTTTGAAACAACTTAGAATTTTTTTAAACAATTCTTTACTACAAAAAATTTACAGGCGCTAGTGTGCGTTTTATTTCAAATAACTATTCTCGTCTCCTTTCTTGTCTGTTTACTTATTTATCCTCCAAAACTCTTTTTATTTAACGGATATTTTATGGCCTGCTTCGTCACAAATTATTGTGTTGGGATGTTGTATAGTATAAATAAATTAATTAAAATAAAGTTTGTTATTACTATTTACCTACATCAAAGTATACTAAAGTTTACATAAATAAAAATGTATTAAGTTATAAATGAAAAAGATTTATTATTTGTTTAAATATATCACATTGCAATAATCGTGTCGTGATGTACACGTCTCGTAGTGTACTAAAGAGCTCGTGTACCAGACGTTAGATACCGCCCGCAGATGGGCTCTTCGCTTCATTCGATTTCTCGATAACGATGTTTAGTTGTATCTCACGGTGTCTTGTTAACATCGATACATACTTAGGTGACATGTGAGATTGCATATTCAACTGTGTTTCTTAGATACAAATAGTGTTACTTTAAAAGTGTTCATGTTTTACAGTCCCTTTTCTCGCCATAAGATTATGATTGAGGTCTCGCCTTTTTGTTATTTTTATGACTACTAGCTGTCGTCCCCGACTCTGTCCGTGAGGTATTAAAATAGATAGTAGCCGATTCTTAGACCTACTCAATATGGTCACAAAATTTCATGAGAATTGGTCAAGCCGTTTCGGGGGAGTATGGGAACGAAAATTGTGACACGAGAATTTTATATATTATTTACGTGAACAGAACAGCGAACATCAATAGGCATCAAAAAATGAATGCCTGCTAAAGTACCAGAAATTCCGCTAGATGTCGCTGTGTTTGTATTTTTTTTATAAATAAAATTACTATCTTTGTAAGTTGTAATTAAAAAGCACTTAAACATTATACATTTTTTTCCATCTTTAAGTAACTATATCTCTACTTTTTTCCAACCATTTTATTTAGACTCTGTGTTAAGGCTTAATTAATCTGCTATAAAAAACACGTGCAAATGGCAACACTAAAAACCAGTCACGTCACGTTTTGGTTTAGTGTGGGTGCGTCTTGCATTTGTATGCTATGACTATGTTAGTGCTTTTTGGTGTTTGTATGTATTTCTGACGCCGTTGTTAGTTGCCTGTCATTTCTCTAATTTTGGAATTCATCACTAAAAGTCACCAAACTGTGGTCTTTAGGTACGTAAAACTTATTTTCCAACGAACGTCGATAATCACTACACTCGTATCTGTAAGCTTATCATTGATTAAGTCATGCATGTAACCTGTTAGACAGGCGTTGCCTTTGCATTGGATTAATAAATAACTGTGTTTGTAAGTGTATATTTAATGTTTTTAAAGCTTTAATATTGATTATGTTATCAGTTAGCTTGGTATGATTGCATCTTAGGTAAATTTAAGTACTCGTATCTTGACGGAATGTAGGTGTTAGTAACGCAATGTAAAACCTCTAGTCTAGAGAGGCACTGTGAAGTCAGTCGGCTTTTCGATGCCGGTCGGTATAGTTGTGTTTATATTTAGTGTAGCATGCAATCATAATGGTATGTTCGTGTTTTGTCTGTCTGTTTGTTAACGTGGTGTTTGTGAAGTGTTCTAAGTGCTTGTTTTGTTGCAGGCTGGCAGAATGCTAAAATTCATAAGGGGGAAGGGTCAACAGCCCTCTGCTGAACGGCAGAAACTTCAAAATGAACTGTTTGCATTCCGCAAGGTAAGTCCTCATCGCTAAACTATTATTATTTATAAATTAATATGTTTTTTAAAGTTCTGTACTATTGTTTAACATTAAAAAAAAACTTAGACAAGAAATGTAATTATGACTACAAACATGGTTTAAAATGGCATTACCTAATTGTAAAACACCACACCTACAACAGCTTTGTAAATATATTTTGCAACTTTTAAAATATAATGATAATTAATGACATTATTTCCTAATGATAATTATCTAATTTAAAATTGTATTCAAATATTAATTTTAAAGAAATTCTATACTACACTGAATACTGTTTTTTTTTACATTTTGTTGTGTTAGTATCATTATAGCTAGATTATTTCTGAATTTGGTAAAATTAAGTTTATTGTATATTCTTGACATCCTAATATATTGAAGTATCCAATAAATGATATTTTAAAACTGGCCAAATAGAATTTGAAATTTATAAAGTTTTCATAAAATATTAGAAGTGAATAAATCAATATAATGCAGACATTGCCTACAACTCGTCTGGTACTGGCTGGAGATTTATGCTTACACAAATACCACATTAATCATTCTCAAGTGCTGTTGTGTATACAGTTTCAGTATTATTTCAAATGAAAAATGATTTTGCAAACATATAGGCATATTTATAATACCTTGCTGTTATATTATTTATATCATATGATGAAACTTAGGATTGCTTTATATACAAACATCACATTAAAAATATAATAAAAAATGTACACACTTTATTACTAGCTTACTAATATTATAAATTTAAATGTTTGGATGCATGGATCAATGGATGTTAGAAGGTGTCTTCGGAACGGCGTAACAGATCTTGTTGATTACATAGATGTCAAGCATAATCTGAAGGAACACACAACTAATTAAGTATTTTTTAATCTGTGCGACTAGAGTCACATACTTTGATAACAGATTGTTATTGCTGTGTTGCCTAGCATTGATTTGAATTAGTTGATTTTGTATTTAAAAAATAAAACATAAAAATCTTTCCCGCTTACATTCTGTTTTTTGAAGTTGGCTAAATATAGTATAAATTATTTTTTGTACAGGATTTTAAAAAGCTACATCAAATTCATACTCTTGTTGGAATATCATAGCTAATATGGCTTCATTGTCTGATTTTCATTTGTTTGTCTATAGAGAAAAGTACTTAGATTCTGTTAACGAAAGTGTTAATTTTATGTTTAAAGTTCTCACTAATCTATCCCAATCAGTAACCTGAATTACAGTGTTTGTTGTTCATAATCTTATCACGCTCAACCCTGCAATGTATTTGCTATTAGATTAGATGTCTCAGTTTATTTTTATGGTGAACATTGTTTCATTTGCGGTGAAAAAATTAGTCCATGGCCATAGAAAAAATGTTCGATTTAGTAATGTCAGATATCAAGAATTTATAGAGTTGGCACATAGTAATATCACTAATTTCCATACAAATGTGTGCTGTTCTTGGCAGTTACTTAAATAAAAATGTTTTATGTATTATAAAATCTTCTTTTATATCTATACTTAGATTGTTTCCTTTAGGAATTCAGATATCCAAACAAATCTTTTTCTTCTGTTTATTTTGGCGGGAAATTGTCAGCGTATCCGATAAATGAAATAGTGTTGCCACACGTAAATAAATGTTGAATATTTTTCTCAATGAATAGAATTTATAACATTAATAACGTTAATTGTTCTGATTAAATATTATAAGTTTAGTCATAGCCGAGCCCAGTTATTGTAGCACGCTCCTACATCATGAAACAGCTTGTATAAATGAATTTCAAGGCCACGAAACTGTTTCGTTCAGTCAATTAGAAACTTTACGATTGTTATGGTATAGGTATGAGATACGTTCGTAGTTTTTTTTTTAATTTATCTCTATAGCAGATCAGTATAGCGTATTTGGTTTGATTTACAATTTTTTTTAATGTTTAATGGTAAATATAAAAAGCTTCTCGTTTCAAAATTTGAGTTGGCGCGAAAGCATATTTTTTTCTTTTTATCTTTGGCCGATTGGATGAAGGTTTGTTTGCTTTTTAGAAATTGTGTATCGATTTATAGATACGAGTGTGGAGTAAGTAGGGAAACATTTCGGTTATCGTCCGTTAGACCGATAAGAGATAACAACTGAGCCGGATCGATAGACCGCTATCTGGCTCTTGTAGCCTCGGCCAGTTCAATGAGCCATATTCGATGTTATTTCCAATATTCGATAGAATCGGTAAACACATTTTTATTATTTTTTCTTATCTGGTTGGTTACAAAATTATACATTGAAAGGGGCCATTTACGTGTGGTTTAAATTCTTGAGTATAGAAACGTTATTAGATTTCTATGTCGATAAAATAAATCAATCAATAGTATACTTATAGTGAAATTAAAGCTGAAAAGTGGACTACCTATAGGAAAGTATCAATAACTAGATCCTCCTTCCGTGCGAAAATAAAAAAAAAACTTTATGAATAGCCTATGTGTTCTTCCCGACAATGTTCTACATATATGCACAATTAAAGCGAGATCCATACAGCCGTTCTGGACATAATATCTTACATCAAAACATTTGCATTTATAATATTAGTAAGATATCCAGAAAAGAGAGTAGTGGCTAATGTCCAATAAATTCGATTAAATAGTTATCCATGAAAATTATGTCAATTTTTTTATTCACTTTTTATTTTAAACAGTAAAATGGCTAATATATCCATTAATTATAGCTTATAGTGTGTCAATTAATATAATAGTAAGAAAGGTCTTGTTAGAATGGTTGATGTTAGTGCCAAAGATAAGTTTAACGCGATACAATAAAATGACGCACCCGTCCTCGCCCGCGCCCTTTTAATTATCTATATCAACTGATTACATGGAAACAAACCCTCGTAACTCAGTAACTAAGGCACGACATGCTGTCTACATATCACAGATTCAAATACACATAAATTATTAACACAAAAAAACATAAATCATGAGAGAAGTATTAGTTCTTCGTAGAAAATAATAATAATTGGGTACTGGCAATATTTAATCATAAAAAATAATAGAATTTAAAACTATATTGTTTTTTTTAAAGGAATCAATGGTTTTCGTTACTATTACCTAGCAATTTTATTTCTAGTTTAGTTTCTAAGTAAAAACATTTTTTTTTTAATTTATATCATAAGGTGGCAAACGAGCGAGCGGCCACCTGAAATCGCTGATATAGCGAAGTGACCGTTGCCTACCTTTCATCAACGGAGGAGAGGATGCACAGAAAGAAAATATATTCCCTTTCCATGCATCCTTTCATCCGGAAAGTCCACTTCTACTTCCCACCCTTTCCTTATAAGAAAAAGGTGGGAAGGGAAAGAGGACTAAATTAGGCGTCCGGGACGCACACTCTTCAGACGAGACACAGAATTGCTTCCACTTGACGCGTATCTTCTGTGTGGTCGTGGTATTTCACCGGGCGAGCCGCGCCAATTCGTGCGAAGATGTTAAAGCGGGCTCTACCACTGTTTCATTCAAACAAAAAATTATCATATTTATGATGATTCGTTTTGATTGGTACACACACATTCAAATAAATTGATTGAATTCAATTGCGAATTGATTGAACCGTGTCAGTCACATGTTTATGAATGACACGCTTGTATTGGGTGGTCTTAGTACATCTTGGGTACAAAGATCATTTATCCCTTATCACTTACATCCTACGGTAACCTTCATGTGGCTTCTGAACCTAGGTCTTTGATGCTTTCCTGTATTCAGAGAATGACGTCACTAGCTTTTATATACACGTGCCCGGGTTTTAATTAATCCCGTGAAATATGTTTTGCTCACCCTAAATAGCGGATTTAATTTATTTAACATCACGCAATATCCCACTGGAATTTTGATTTATTAAACATTGTTAATTACATTTATAAAAGTACAATTCTAAATTATACAAAGTATATTGTGTTACTGGTAGTTGCTTGAGACTTAATCAGCGCGTAATTAAAACATAGCTTATAATGTTCCCGCATATGTATCAGTTATTTTTTTTTAAATCCCGTCAAAATCAGTCTAACCGTTTCAAAGATTACCCGCAAAATTCACGGGCTTGAGTACAAATAGACAAAAAAAAATAGTGAATTATGTTTTTTTTTTTCGATATTACATAGTTGGTAAAGAATTTATTTTTATATAGGATGTTCTAGAAATCTAGAACATATGTCACCTACATAAACAAATATAGGTTCATACATTATCGCATACCACATAACGAATTGGATAAGTTATCTATGCCATAATGAACTTTCTGTTAGAAACTGTCCCAGCTTTGTTATCGGTTCCTGTGTTAGCTGGTTTCCTGGTCACATTTTACTAGTTTTCAAGTAAAACATAATGTAGACATGTCTGTACTATGTAGGAACCTGTTCATAAGTTAATTATCATAAATACATATAAACGTAATTTGTCGTATTGTTATCATTTTAATTCTTTACTAGAATATGAAGAATTCGAAACTAATCACCACAGCTTATAAAAGATAAAACTGTTTGTCAGTCAGTTTATATTCCATCAATTGTCTTCAATGTAGCAGTTGCGAGCTTTTCTCCAAAGGACTTATCCACTTGTTCCTAATGACATGATTGTATGCTATCTTCACAACTAACAATGTTATTGTTTTAACAGTGGTATAGCCCGCTTTAACATGTTCGCACGAATTGGCCCTGCTCTCCCGGTGAAATACCACGACCACATAGAAGACAGGCGTCAAGTGGAAGCAATTCCACGTTTCGTCTGATGAGTGTGCGTCCCCGAGGGCTTATTTAGTCCTCTTTCCCTTCCCACCCTTTTCCTTATAAGTAAAGGATGGGAAGTGGACTTTCCGGACGAGAGGATGCATAGGAAGGGAAAATATTTTCTTTCTATGCATCCTCTCCTCCGTCGATTAAAGGTAGGCAACGTATATGCAATTGCGTATGTCTATGGGCAGCGGTCGCTTTGCTATTTCAGGAATTTCAGGTGGCCGC